AAAAACTATCACCTTAAGACCAGCTTGTTTTGTACTTAGAATGTGAGCATGTAATGGCTACTGAAAAATCAGATTAATTTTGTGTTAAAATCAAGGCCAGGCTTTTAAATGAAGTGTTTTTGGAACAGGAGATCTTTTTCAGGCAGTTTATGTGTTAGGTGGCCAGACATGAATGGTTTTCTTTTTATAAGCATCAACTGGCATTTAGGATGCTTCAGCAGCCCAAACAGAATTTGAAGAGGATGAAAGTCAAAATCAAATCTACTGTACTCTTTTTGTCTGCACTTGAAAAATGCTTTTGCCCAACTTAATTTTAAGGAGCATCAATTTTTTTTCAGTTCAGCCAATTGTCTCCAGAAAACAAAGAAGTGCAAATGTTCTAAAAGCACATTTCAACATAAAAGGAGTATTCTAGAAAGAATAGAATAGAATAGAATAGAATAGAATAGAATAGAATAGAATAGAATAGAAATAGAAATAGCCTTTATTGTCCCACAGAGGGAAAATTCAGGTGTCACAGCAGCATCAGTGCAGAGGTTCGCACACTAGTTACTTTTCCAACTACATTGAAAAAAATAACTTGTAAAATTTACTTGAAAAAATCCTCATAACAATGTGCACTAACGTTTATTAAGTAAATTTAAATGCAACAAATTCAAGTAATATTTACTCATTATTATCTAGTAAAGTTACTAAGAATATAGATAAAGATTTGTGAATAAATCAGGTAAATTTTACGAATCGTTAATTATATTCTTAGTAACTTTTACTAGATAATGAGTAAATATTACTTGAATTTGTAGCATTTAAATTAACTTAACAAAAGTCTTGCAAATTGTTACAAGGATTTTTCAAGTAAATCTTTCAAGTTCATTATAATAGTGCACATGCATCAAGCACAATATTATCATGACACCTCACAGCTACAGAGAGGTGTAGCTTTTGTTGTAGTTCAAGATTTCACCACCAGGTGGCAGTTTTGAAGAACCTTTATTGGATTCTTCTTCATGAACAACACAAACAAAGGGAAACTCACAGGTCTTATTAATGACTACCACTCTAACTTATGGTTACTTCTGCTGAACGGTTTAACACAAGTTAACAAATAATGAACACAAATTAGAGTAACACAACAGACTAATCGCTGAAAGAACAATGTTAACCAATTCCCCAAAACGATTTAACAACAACAAACATGAATCCTACCCACAATCCTCCACTGCAGTCACATGACAAACAGCCAGTCTGAGCTTGCACTGCTAACATTCACCAGCTACATTATGCCATCAAACCATTGCACACCAACAAATGTATTCAAGCAAAAGAAACCAGACAACTTATGTTTTATTTRGACCATGTCTTGTCCTCTCCTTGAAAAGTGAAGCGAGGGAATGAGGAACAGCAGCCTTTGTGTGCATGTGCCCTCAGTTTTAGCCCAGAAGAGTAGAATTTACTTAATATATTCATGTTTATGTGCTGTTCAGAAAAAGCACTTCAATATTACTGGTAAAATAATATTAGCATTTACTTTTTTTGTGCAGTAATATTAATATATAATTTAATGTGTATTGTTTATTTAGTAAATTCTAGTAGTTTAGAGATTTTGAATTTTTTTGTAAAACTTAAAAAGAACAATTAAATGAATGTTACTACACCCCAAAATTTTGTTTTATCAGTGTATAGATAGCACACACAAAACAAAACTAACAATGATTAGCCATGATACAACTACTACTAATAAAAATATAATATAAAGAATTGTGCAAGAATAGAAAACGATGTTTTATTTCAGAATCTGACATTAGGCATCAGAAATTGTCTGTTTTCGTGCAAAACAATCTCAACAGACAAATATTCTAAAAGCATATTTTACCCATAATTGTTAGATAAACTAGCAAACTGGATACAGAATGGTTATTGAAACTCTTTTTTTTTTTTGTAATTACATGGTTGTCTAAATGTTTTATTAGAACTGATTGTATAATTTAAACACTTTTAGTCTCAAGTCTCTGTTGTGGCTGTTTTGTTGGTTTGTAGCTAAAAAGTTTGAGTACCCCTGATTATCCCATTAGTCACTGGAATTTCCCTGAACGCTTCCCTTTTATCAGCTGACCCCACTTTACCTTCTGAATCCACAGTTCAAAAGCTCTGCTTTAATCCAACAAAACAGTTCAACTATGCAACCAGTAAGGGTAGGTGATAAATAAAAAATGCAGCCGTACATCATAAATGATAAATTGTCCTTCAGGATAACACTTAACAGGCATGTCCCCCTCTTGCAACAAAGCGTTGCATTTATTACACACTCTCTTTGTGTGTCCTCACATTCCTACAACTCCACACCGACAAAAACTGTCAGAAGAGTTTTGGTTGGTGCAAATGGAATTAAAAAAATGTCTGAATTAAAAAAAAAAAAAACAGACAAAAGCAAAGTTCAACCTGCTCCCAAACAAACAGGACAGTATTGGATAATGCTGTGGACAAGTGCTTTGGTGTCAGCTTTTTTCTTGTTTTCTACATCTTTGCAGTCTGACCTATCCAAACCCTACTATCAGCAGCTGAAACTGCAAAGTTACATTTTTTTAATTAATTGCACTTCGTTCTATCTTAACCCACTGCTGCTGTTATGTAGTTAATTCAGCAGAAATGCTCCACTATTTAGGAGAACAACTGCAGTGATAATCATGATAGTGCTGCTGTGTTTGTCACATTACAAATAAAAAAATAACTATATGTGACCTATCATATTGAAATGAGGATTAAGTCAAATTTGGTCAAAACGACCCAATTACATTTTCAGATTCTTGGCTTTAAAAGCTACATTTTGACACCTGGATCATTCTGATATCTTAATTAAATCCATATATATGACCTAATTTGTCTCGTTGGTTACAATAAAACATAAATATTTGGCCTGAATCCTAATTTTATGTCATTTTAATGAGGAATTTTTGATGTCCTTATGAAGAGGAAACCACAAATTATATTTGAATATTGAGATTTCCCAGCTAAAAAGAAACAAAACTTTGCTAACTCACAGGGAAAATCTCTAAATTTTAAGGCGTTTTTCCTCAAAATCAGTTTTTTTTTGTTGCTACTGCTCAAAAAAAGTGCTTCAAAATTTTGTTTCATTATTATATTTCAGACAGTCTTTTAAATGCTATTGTATTATATTTTGACAAAATGCAATTTTTGTTAACATTTAAGTCAAAACACTATGTTTGCCTATTTCTCCATATACCACTTTTGGACTTAATCCTCGTTTCGATGTGATAGGTCACATATATTCAATAAATGAGATTTAAAAAAAATCATCCCTGTTTATGATGAGGACATAAAACTCAGCACTGTCATGGGCGCCCGTGTTCATCATTTGTCCATCAAGTTGAGTACTGTCACTCTGGAGAATCAAGCTGTCTGTCTGTTTTGGCACTCCAAATATAGCAATCTTTTCCAAATATGACATTGTGAGGAGAGACATGTGTGAGGATCTTTGGTTTCATAATCCATAATCCACAATACAGATGGTATCAAGAAATAAGGAACTAAAAGAAACAAGAAGAAAGGGTGAACCCTACCACACACTAGAAGAATTCAATAATAATTTCTAACAACATAGCCCATGTCTTCAGGGAATATCATGACTATTAAATGGTATCATTTTAAAGCTGAAAAATAGTTTCAATTTGACAGACACGTTAGTCAGAGGTAGTGATGAGAAGTGACAAAGAGGTTTCAGTTAAACAGATGGTCCTCAAGCTTGCCCTTCAGTTTTTAGCTCTGCAAAGTCAGCTAACAGGAACTATCTGGCGTATTAAATCACTGTCATCCTAGCTTGTACTTGCATGGACAGGGATCATTAAACCAACAGTTTGTCAGCATTTTTACTGGTTCAAATTTAAAAAAAAATACAAGTTCACATATTACAACACAAAAAAGGAATACAATTTAGGAAAGGTAGCATGAAAACAACATTTTTCTATAAAATTAAATATTGGTTAATTGGTTTGTAAAGTGCCTGATAATAAAAAGTAGAACTAAGATCATTGAAACCTTTGGAGTTTCAATGTGTCAGATTCTCATTTGATCATTTTATCATTGGGGACACTGCTTGTCTGTTCAGTGTCCTCTCTTGTCTTATCACTGATAGTTTTGATTTGTTCTTCAGCTGCATGACTAAATCCCTGACCTCTGTCAGCAAACCTCTGATTGCCTGAGAGGCTGTCAGCAGTTCAGGCAGGTTTGCTTTGGACACAGTCTGTTCACCTGTTCCATTTCATAAGGATGAAAACACTTCATAGTTTTTCTTTTTTCCTGGCAGGCTTGTTACGTTTGCTTGAAGATAGATTGATGTTGTGCTCATAAAAAAGCTCTTCTGCACTGATGACAACCTGACTATTCATCTTCTGCCATTGATTTTTCCTGCTCAGTGTCTGCCACAACAAGCTTTGTTCACAATTAACTAGCTGAGTGCAAAATAATTCCAAGAAGCCACCCAGTGTTTTCTTTATTTTATTTTTTCTGTTCCATCCATCCATCCATCCATCCATCCATCCATCCATCCATCCATCCATCCATCCATCCATCCATCCATCCATCCATCCATCCATCCATACATCCATATTGTATTATTATCGCTCACTGCCAAAGAGGTTATACTGTTTTTGTGTATGTGTGTATAAACAGCATGTTTTGCAACCAGCCTAAATCCTAAGGACTGAATTATTCTTTCCTAATTAACTAACTGGTTTCCTGAAACTTGGCAACTTATATGATCACAAAAATAAATAAATAAGTGAAAATTCAAGGCCAGTTGTGCAACACAGATGACTCAACAGAATAGCTGGAACGAAAAGATATTGCCGACTCGCCTGCAACTCAGATGGTGAATCGAGCTGAAAAATGAGCCCTATTATAACGTGTGACACTGGTGAAACACTGCAGGTTGCTATTCTTTTTGGACCAAAATAAAAGCCTGTACCTTCTTCTTTTCTTTTCAGACGATGGAAAGTTGTCATTTGACGAGTTCAACGCCTACTTTGCTGATGGAATCCTGACTACTGAGGAGCTGCAGGAGCTCTTCTTCTCCATAGATAACCGACAGAATAAGTGAGTTTCTGTAATTTGATATCTTTGATAAAGAAGATGAATTGGTATATTTATCAGCAAATCAGTAGTCAGAGGCTATGATATCTCACAGTTTGAGGAACTTTTTCAGTAAAAATAAAAAACCCAGAAGCTAAACTCCAGCTGGATGAACTAAAAACAGCCTCAACTATCTGAACTTAAAAATAATTATAACCTCAACAGCCACATCAAAAACTCACTCCTCTGAAATTGCAATCAAAGAAATCAGCCCGAGGGTGGGTGCAGGAATCAGTCTCTGCAGAGAACAGTTAACTCACCACAGCCGTGGAGGGGAAAAAATAAGCTTTTTCTCCCCTGTTGGGTCAAACAGGAGGCGGCGGATTTAAGTTTTCATTCTTTTTCATGAGCCAGTTTTCTTTATTTTCCCTGGTTGTTTCAAAATTTGCATTCATGAGACCATTTTAGTGACTTTTCTCTTTGCTCACCTCTTTGTAACACTGGAATTCTAAACAAGGTGTTCAGCTTCAGCTGTAAAATTGTGTGCGTAAGCTCAGAGAAAACCTATAAAGCAACATGTCCTGATGCATCTCAGTAATCCAGGTAGAAAAAAATCAAAAAGAAAAAAATAAGTAGGTCCTCTGGATGGGTTCTTCTTTAGTGAAAAGTTTCATCTCTCCTCCAAGAGACCTCTTCAGTCTGATGAGTTTCAGGTGAACTCAGCCTTATAAACACTGCCTCCACATGGACAAACAGGTTAGTCACATGCAAAAGAGGGCCATCGCCTAACAATAGGCTTGATTAGCTCTATTGTTCATAGAGGGTCATGTGCCCCATCACCTGACTTATTGGTTTGGATGCTGTGGTTCTTAGGTGTCGTGTCGTGTATGTAGTGAATGCAGGCGGGGCTCAAAGTCCCCTTGTTTTTGTCTCTCTTTCCCTCTTTGTGTTGGTATCATTGGGGCCCTGATTCACACCTTTTGCTCACAGGGGGCTGAGTCATACTTGRAATAACAGCGATGTAGGAGGAGGACAACTGGACACGAAGGCCTCCACCTCTGTTTAATGATGGACATTTTTTCTTCACAAAGATGGCTTCCTTTACTCCTTTCTCAAACCACCGTTCCTCTCTATCAAGGATAAGAACATCTTCATTCCTGAAAGAGTGACCGCTGGCCTGTAGATGAGTGTAAACTGCAGAGTCCTGACCCAACGATGTAGCTCGTCTGTGCTGGCTCATTCTTTTGAACAGTGGCTGTTTTGTTTCCTCAACGTGTGACTGATCACAGTCCTCCTGACACTTAACAGCATATACTATATTACTCTGTTTTTGCCTGGGAACTGGATCTTTGGGGTGAACTAATCTTTGTTGCAATGTTTTTTGGGGTTTGAAAGCCACTGGGACGTCGTGTTTGGAGAATAAACCTCTTGGTTTCTCTGAAACTCCCGCCACATATGGAATGACGACTGGTTTGGGTCTGGGTTTAGGGTCTTCATTTTCAGCTGGTTGTTGGCTGGAATCCAGTTTGGGTTTGTCTGCTCGGTCACTCTTTCAGGGAAGAAGATGTTCTCATCCTTGATGGAGAAGAATGTTGGTTTGACACAACACAAAGCGGAGGAAAAAAGACGGGGGACAAGGGGACGTTGAGCCCCGTCTGCATTCACTACATACACAAAACACGACAAGAACCACAGCATCCAAACCAATAAGTCAGGTGATGGGGCACATGACCCTCTATGAACAATAGAGCTAATCAAGCCTATTGTTAGGTGATGGCCCTCTTTTGCATGTGACTAACCTGTTTGTCTATGTGGAGGCAGTGCTTATAAGGCTGAGTTCACCTGAAACTNGTTTCACTAAAGAAGAACCCATCCAGAGGACCTACTATTTTTTTCTTTTTGACCTATAAAGCAACCATTATGAGAACTGTCATGCAAAAGCATGTGCACTGTTTATGCATCAGTCCATTGTGAGAATCATGGAGTTCAACTGCAGAAACGACTCTTTCAACAAGGGCAAATTAATATTAATGTATTTCATTTATTTATTAATTTTTGTCTTTAGCAAAAAATCTTATTCCATAGATTTTAATAACACTTCCAGAAAGTAATAATTGGAAGAACCTCTGATTAACCTTTGGAATCAACATGATTATAGGATTAAAATAGCTAATTGTGTTGGAAGCCTGCTACGGAGATGGGAAGACTTAATGAACAGTGGATGCTTTGTTTGTTGCTTCCTACACCTACACCTGAGCTTTATTAGAAAAAAAGGAAAATATTTAAAAGCATATGTCTCCTTTAAAGAAAATGGGAAGCTTTTTTATATAATAAGGGAGCTGTTCAAAATGTGATACAAAAAGCTGTTACATAAGGTTGACTAACTATAGTGACTACTAAAGCAACTAACTGATTTTCCCCAGTGAATAGCCCGTGTGGACAGAAATATAATTGGTCTTTAAGGTTTCAGGGCTGCAGTTTTGTGTGTGTGTCCTCCTCTGGATGTTACCACACTAGTCTGGCTGATAAAAGCCAAAAGGATCTCTCAAGCAGAAATGAAGAGCAGCTCGTCTTTGAATCTCCCTAATTAACTTTCCTCATTTATCTCCTCTTGTGTTCTGCCCTGCAGCAATCTGGACACTGACAAGCTATCAGGTTGGTGGAAGACTGCTTTGTTTGATTTAATGTGATGTGTCAAAAACATGAATTCCTGCAGGGCATTTTTTTGGCAATCTCACAGGCATCGGTGCTTGAGATGGTGTCAAGAAGCAGACACTGTTTATTTTGCAAAGAGGAAGCTGGTTCAATATTTGCAATGTATGCTATGCTTACCCATCCCAGTTCTAGTGGTCTCTTGATGTTTACAGATACAACATTAGTGTCAAATTAGTCTATTTTCATCGCTAGGAGGAAGACATTTGGAGAGTTTGGAGGGTTTGATCATGCTATAATGCACTAGAAATGAAAAAAAAAAAAACACGCCAGCCCTGTTGATTCAATCAGATGATCTGAATAAGTCAGATGTCCTGAATAAAGTAAATTGGGTCACAGACTGGTAAATACCAGCTTTGCCCAGAATAAAACCTTTGCATAATTGATCAAATGGGAATGGCTTCTTTTCCATTTGACACACAAAAAAGTTGTCAGTTTTCCACAGCAGAATGTTTTTTTTTTTTTCATCTCAGGTCTCTGAACATGTATCATTCATGGAGCTCTGTTCCGTTAACAAAGTATCCTATAATGCCAATATTGAATTCAGTAAAGTATAAATATGAAAGTTGAAGGACTCTAAGTGGATTTATCAACCTCTGATGTGTTTCTCCATTAGATTGAAATTTCATTAAAATCTAATACTTCCACCTCAGTCTGCTGATAAATAAAAGCAGTTATAGCTCTTTGTTTGGAAGATAATCTCACTTATCAAGATTTGATTTTATTGGGATCCATCAATGCAGCATGGATGAGTTTTCAGTGTAACTTACAGTCTTTTTTTCCCCCTATTAAGATTACTTTTCTCAGCACCTCGGGGAATATCTAAATGTTCTTTCGGCTCTGGAGAGCCTGAATATTGCCATTTTGAAAGCGATGGATAAAACCAAACAGGTAAGACTTTGGAAGAATAGTGATGCTAGTTTTCCTTTGAAAAGGTGTGTTGTGAACTGTTTGACTTAATCTAAAATAAACTTTGTCCTAAGCTGTGTTTGTGGGAATTAAAGAAAGCCACAAAGAAGTCCAACAAGTACAAAACTTCTGGGTGGTGTTATATCCCAGTTCTACAGAAAATTATCATTTTTTATGATAAATGTGTTTAATCAGTATTCCCAGTGATGAAAATTTAGTGCTACTAAAATGTTTTTAAAAATGACAACTTAATGAGTTGTCTTAAAATGACCACACAATCCCTGCATTATCATTTATTAATTTATTAACAAATTAAAGCCACATTAATGTGACTAAAAGCCTATTTTTTGGTATTTCCGGGGAACATTTTCAGATCTCTGTTTCCTCCCTGCAGCCCAGCATCTCTCGTGCTCCCTGCTGCTGAAACTGCTGCTCCGTCTGCTGCAGATGGACAAAGATGCTGATTAGTATTACAGCCGGTGGCTCCAATACAATCTGTCCACCTCTCTTCAAAGGGTCCAGCAGCTCCTGATTGTGCTCAGTTCATTATAATTCAACCTCCAAAGAATTGTTTCCACTTCAGACATCTGGATTATACCTTACTTATGACATTTTTTTAAAAAAAGTAAACATTCAAGCTGAGAATCGGATTTTTAATAACCTCTAACTTGTGCAAGTATGAGGCTGCTGCAGCAAGATCACTTCATTTAACAGAACCGTTGAACACATTTTATACAAGATTTAACACTGTGTCTTAATTTAAAGAGGAAAAAACTACTATTTTGCATATTCTTAATGGCTTTAAATTTAATATGGATTTGTTTATTTGTTTATTCATTCATTAATTCATAAGTTCTGGAGGCCCAACATTTTTTTCTCAGGTCTCCATAAGT